GAAAAGCGAGCCTGAAAAGGCCCCTCGCTCCTCCGCCGCCTGTCGCAAAACGCGCTCGGGCCGCTTGACGGCAGCGGGGGCAGTCCTAACCCTAACCCCGCCCGGCTCCAGCGCAGCCTCAGTTCGAGTCCGCCCGCCTGCTGCGGGTCCTTTTTTGTCTGAATTCCTGCCCAGAAAAATCATCGTACGTAACACGGGTTGCAGAGCTGGATTACCTGACACCACTCGAAGTCGGAGCTAGCGGAGGACTTTTATTTTCGTTCCCCCCCCCCTTTATTTTTGTTGTAAAATTCATACAACATAGAATTAACCATTTTATAGCATTTTAAATGATATATTTTATGTATATAACATATACGTTGTTATATATTATGTACTCTTACGTAATTACAATATTACAGAATTGTACTAACTGTATAAGACATAATGGAACATGTCATGTAACATAAATATAGCAATACATATACATAGTATGTTATATCACTTAATACATTTGCAGTGCTGTCAACCGCCACCTCTAACTATTCCAAAACATGTTCATCCCCAAAAGGAAGCCCTGTACTCCTCAAGAAGTCTGTTTTTTATTTTAAATCATAATTTTATTGATTTTAAAAATTTCCCAACCTGCTCATCATCACCCCCAATCCTGGCAACTGCCACACTGTCTTGATGACCACTTTACAATCATCAAGTGAAGATCCACCTCCCACCCTCAGACCCCTCCAGAGGCCCCTAGTCCCAAAACGGACAGTGCCGGACCCCACACGGTATTGAGCTGCCAGCTCTCTAATCCCCTTCTCTCGGGGACAGTTCTCGGTCCGCCCTTGGCTTCCACCACCGTGCCTATTTCCTGCACTAGCTCTCGCTGACTTTGGGTCTCCAGAGAGCTCAGGACTGTGCAGCCACACTGAAGCCAGGCCCAAGGACGCGGAGAGAAGGCTCTTGTCCTCGGGTGTGCCTAGGCGCTCCGTGGGGCTTCCCCACGTCGCTCACGAGCTCCAGTTTTTGCGCCTTCTCTCACCAGAAAATGCCTGGAGAACAGGGAACGGAGAACCGGCTGAGCGCCGGGCTGGGAGAATGCAGCTCAGGGTTTGCACTCAGGCGCCAGTTCCTCCTCGCCGCCCTGGGTACTGGCAACCACTTATCGACCGGCTGCTGCCACTCGATCTCTCTCTGTGACTCACAGGTCGGTCATCTTCCCGCAGCTCCAGGCGCCCCCGCCCGGTCCCACGCAGCTGGGTGAAGGCTGGGTCTGGTGGGAAAATGGGCGGGGAAGTCTGCTGTTCACAGACAGGGCGCGGGTCTTACTTGCAAAAGCCTGGGCGGAGCCGGAACTAGTCCTGCCTGCCGGGAGGGTAGGGCGGCCAGTCTGGCCCCGACGAGTGCGGTGGAAAGACAGCCTGTTCCTCTTTTCTCCTCTCCGGTCCCTGCCAGGCAGCTGCTGCGATTCCGTGGGGTGCCTTGATCCGCTTACAGCCGAGGCAGGTGTGTAGACAAGCTGGTCCGAGCAGGTATGGAAGCCCTCTGGGCAAAGGGAAGGACGAAGTTGCTGTTCACCCCGGAGGTGGGGGGTAGTAGGAGGGGAAGGGAACCCCGAGGCCTGGTGTTGGGAGCGCAGGCTGCGCTTTGGGCTGAGGCCAGGTACAGTCACTCTCTGGTTCTTCTTGTCCTCCACCCTCCTGACCCTCCTGGCCCTCCTGGGTGCCCCTGGCCCTAGAGCCTCCAAGCCTACCCTTGCCAGCCCAGGGCTGCCCAGACACCCACATACATCCCAGAATAGGCACCAGGGCAGGATACCCAAACTAGCATGAGTGACAGAGCAGGTGACATGGAAGAAACAGGCATTGAGCCCAGCCAGGAGAGTGAAGATGTGCAGAGGAGCCATGACAGATAAACAGAGAAGAGAGGCCAAGAAAAACAGAGGCACCTGAGCTGGTTTGGCTCAGTGGTTAGAACGTTGGCCTGTGAACTGAAGGGTCCCAGGTTCGATTCCGGCCAAGGGCAACCTTGGTTGCAGGCTCAATCCAGTCGATGTGTCTCTGTCATGCTGATGTTTCTCTCTCTCTCCCTTCCACTTACTCTGAAAAGCAATGGGGGGAAAAAAAATCCTTGGGTGAGGATTAAAAAAATAAAAGTCACTACTTTAAAAAAGAAAAGAAAAACAGAGGCAGGTAGAGCCTGATAGAGGCAGAAAGTGAGCCCCAGGGGGAAGGTGACAAGATGACAGAGAAGACCAGGCAGACAGAAGTAGATATCTCTGAATGAGAGCCACATGAACAGGGCGGATCAAGGAGCTGAACCCTAAAGAACAAAGTCTGGGTGAGTCTGAGACAAAGATAAACTGAGAGACCCTCAGGGAGAAGAAGAGGGCTCCAGTTCATAAGATGAACAAGATAGGAAAGGAGACCCATCAAACACTGCAGTAGGGTGATTTGGTGTATCTGAGATAATTTTAAATGCATATGCCCTTGAACCTAGCAATTGCACTGCTGAGAATTTATCCTTAAGATAACTTCTCACGCTCTGGCTGGGTAGTCAGATGGTTAGAGCATTGTCCCGCTATGCCAGGGGTGGAGAACCTTTTTTCTGCCAAGGGCAGATATTTGGATATTAATAACATCATTTGCAGACCATACAAAATTATCAATTTAAAAATTAGCTATGGCCCGGCCAGCGTGGCTTAGTGGTTTAGCGTTGACCTATGAACTGGGAGGTCACGGTTCGATTCCGGGTCAGGGCACATGCCCGGGTTTCAGGCTCCATCCCCAGTGTGGGGCGTGCAGGAGGCAGCCGATCAATGACTCTCTCATCATTGATGTTTCTCTCTCTCTCTCTCCCTCTCCCTTCCTTTCTCTGAAATCAATAAAAACGTATTTTAAAAAATTAGCTATGAAAAAAGTTCCTAGATTTATTGAATTTTGAATCCCTGCAGTTCCCTTGGCAGAGCCAGACCAAATGATTTCTTTCCTTCCTTTTTTTTTTCTTTTTTAATCCTCACCCAAGGGTATTTTTTGAGGATATTTTTCCCATTGCTTTTCAGAGAAAGTGGAAGGGAGAGAGAAACAGCAATGTGAGACAGACACGTCCATTGGTTGCCTTCCCTACCCACCCCAACTGGGGCTAGGGATCGAGGCTGCAACCGAGATACCTATACTTGGCCAGAATCAAACCCAGGAACCTTCAGTCCATGGCCTGACGCTCTAACCACTGAGCATAACCGGCTAGGGCCAGACCAAATGATTTCCCGGCCCGCGGGCTGGACGTTCCCCACCCTTGTCATACACCAAGGTTTCAGGTTTGATCCCCAGTTAGGCCACAACCAATGAATGCATAAAAAAGTGGAACAGCAAATCAAAGTTTCTCTCTTTCTCCCTTCCTCTCTCTTTAAAATAAATTTTAAATTAAAAAAAAACCCATAATATCTCAGAAGCAGAGAGAGAAAGATTCATGAAAATGGCCCTCCTACTGGTCGTGAGAAGCTGGGATCAACCCTGAGGTCGAATCCTTGTGCACTGCTGGTGGGAGTGTAAGTTGGTGCAGCTGCTATGGAAAATAGTATGGCACTTCCTCAGTAAATTAAACAGGGAGTTTCCATGTGGCTCAGCAATTCCACTTCTGCATATATACCCAAAAGAATTGAAAGGAGGAACCTGAAAAGATATTTGTACACTCACATTCATAGCAGCATTACTCACGGTAGCCAAAAGGTGGAAGCGGCCCAAGTGTCCATTTATAGAGGAATGGACGAGCCAGGTGTGGTCTATCCATACGGTGGGATATTATTGAGCCTTAACAAGAAAGGAAATTTTGTCTACAGTCATACCACCCTGAATGCACCTGATCTCACCTGATCTTGGAAGCTGAGCAGGGTCGGGCCTGGTTAGGACTTGGGTGGGAGACCCCTTGGGAATACCGGGTGCTGTAGGCTTAAAAAAAGGAAAAACAAGGCCCTGGCCGGTGTGGCTCAGTTGGTTGAACATCATCCTGTGCACCAGTTTGATTCCTGGTCAGGGCACATGCCCAGGTTGCGGGTTGGGGAGGCAACAAATCCATGTTTCTCTCTCACATTGATGTTTCTCTCTCCCTCCCTCTCTCTCTCAAATCAATACAAAATCTTTTTAAAAAGGAAACTTTGACACATGCTACAACACGGGTGAACCTTGAGGACATTATACTAAGTGAAATAGGCCAGACACAAAAGGACAAATAGTGTATGACTCCATTCTGTGAGGTCCCTGGAGGAGTCAAACTCAGAGAGACAGAAAGTAGAGTGGTTGGTGTCAGGGGCTAGGGAGGGGGCTGTGGGTTAGTGTCTAATGGGGACAGGGTTTCAGATGGGGAAGATGGAAAGTTCTGGGGATGAATGGTGGTGATGGCTGCACAACAATGTGAATGTATTTAACACCACCAAACTGGTTGAGATGTTAAATTCCATGCTATGTGTATTTTACCACAATTCAAAGAATGAGGCCGAGCCATATGTGCCGGTGTCAGGTATTCACAAAGAGAAAAGGCAGGAAATCTGCGACACTGGCAGTTCTAGGGGGCTGGCGCCGGGCAGCAGGATGAGCATTACTTTGTCCTTAACACCATGTCCTTCTGAAACCAGAACCAAGCCCAGCTGGGACTACACACTGGGGCAACCTGGATTCCTCCAGAAGGTCCCAGCAACCCAAACACGGCCATGCACTGCTCAGCTGTGCTCCTGCTCCTGGTTGGTGTGGCTGAGGCCTTTCGCATCTGTGCCTTCAACGCCCAACGGCTGACACTTGCCAAGGTGGCCAGGGAGCACGTGATGGATACCTTAGTTCGGGTAGGTTCACCACTGTAGGGAAGCTGCACTCCTGAGGACAAGCCAAAGCCCACAGCCCTGCAGACACCGGGGCATGTCCCAGGAAAGGGGACATCAAGAGACGTGGGTGCAGAGATATTGAGCAAGCTCCTCCCCTGTCACTGGCCTGAGTCTCTTCCTCTGTAAAATGGGTGCAGTGTGGGTGGGGATGGCACTTGGTTTTCTCCCAGGTCTTTTCTAGTCCCACTGCTCTCTGTGGGCCACATCCAGCACACTGTGCCACTCTTACCCACATCATTGGTCAGTGCCAGTTTCTCAGGGACTCTACCCTCATCCTGGAGCAGCTGGCACTGAGTGGGGCCAGCCTTCCTGGTGTCCTGCAGATCCTGGCTCGCTGTGACATCATGGTGCTACAGGAGGTGGTTGACTCTTCTGGCAGTGCCGTCTCCCTCCTTCTTCGAGAACTCAACCGGTGAGCCGGGCTCTGTGGATCTAATCTGGGCCTACCCTTGAGCCTCAGGACCCCTGACCCTGCGCTCCCTTTCTTGGAAGGTTTGATGGCTCCGGGCCGTACAGCTCCCTGAGCAGCCCCTTGCTGGGGCGCAGCACATACATGGAGAAGTACGTGTACATCTACCGGTAAGCGCAGCCAGTGACCAGGGCAGCCTTGGCACCTGGCCCACTATGAGACAGCTGAGTAGTCCTAAGGGCTACAGGCCCCTTCCTCCTGGGGCAGCCCTCACCTTCTTGGCGTACTTTTTCTCCTCGACCGGTTTATTCTGGGCGCTGCCTCTCCTCTACCCTTGCCAGCTTTGGTGTTCACATGTCTCTACAATAGGCCTTCTCCATGCACAGATGTCGGGCCCCTCTGCCTTTCTCCTGCGGAAGCCACCGGGGCTCAGGGCGTGTCTTGCCCTGTTTGAGAGTGGCTGGCTGCAGCTTCTGGGAAGAGGCTCAGCCATGGCCCGTCGTGGCCTCTGGTGGACACGGTTTCCAGAAATAGCTCTAAGATCCCGTGAGGACAGCTTGCGGGGAGCCCTTTGGGGTCAGGATCGAGAGGGCAAGGGGAACTGCCAAGGAAGGAGACATTTCTTTATATAGATGGAAGTATATAATGTCTAGAAATCACTCCAAGATAATGGGGGAAGAGTGCCCACACAGGAATGCTCATAGCAGCACCGCTCGTAACCCCTCAGAGTGGAAATGACCCAAGTGTCCATCAGCTGATGACTGGGTAAATAAAAGGTGGTCTTTCTATCCAATGGAATATGATTCAGCCATAAGAGGGAATGAAATACTGAGCCATGCTGCAACATGGGTGAACCTTGCAATCCTATGCTAAGGGAAAGAAGCCAGATACAGAAGACCACATATTTGATTACATTCACGTGAAATATCCAGAATAGGCAAATCTAGAGACAGAAAATAGATGAGTGGCTGCCGGGGGCTTAGGGGGAGGAGAGTGGGAAGTGACTGCTTATGGGAACAGTTTCTTTATTGGGGTGTTAAGAATGTTCTAAAATTGTGGTGATGGTTATACAACCTTGTGAATGTACTAAATGACACTGGAATGTTGTATGTGAGTTTTATTGAAAAAATTCTAGAAAAAAAGACTAGGAAGGCTGTGCCCACATGCAACAGAGCTGAGGGTGGAAAGTCCCCTCCCTGAGTGCCAACTCTGATGTTGGCACTTGCAAACCAAAATCAGTGATGTGGGGCCACTGCTTCCTAACTCTTGGTCCCCCAGGTCACAAAAGACACAGGTCCTGGATCACTACGTGTATGATGACAAGGATGACCTCTTTGCTCGAGAGCCCTTTGTGGCCAAGTTCACTTTGCCCAGCAAGGGTAGGAAGGGAAGAGGGGTGGCTCTGTTATGGGGGAGTGGGAAGGAGGGTCTGGCTGGCTCTACTGGGGGCTTGGTTACTGAGAAGAGGCTGTGTGGAGAAGGGCCAGGAATGGGTGGGAGCCCTCCATCCCTGGGGCCTTGTAGTCCTTCCCAGCTTGGTGTTGGTCCCCCTACACACCACTCCGAAGGCTGTAGAAAAGGAGCTGAACGCCCTGTATGACGTGTTTCTGGATGTCTCCCAGCACTGGCAGAGCGAGGTAGGGCTGGGCAGATTGCATGGGAGAGATGGGGACCAGATGGCAAGGGTGGCCTGGCCCAACAGCTGACCCCCTCTCCAGGACATAATCCTGCTTGGGGACTTCAATGCTGACTGTACTTCACTGCCCAAAAAGCGCCTGGGCGAGCTGGTGCTGCGGACTCGGTCAGACTTTCACTGGGCGATTGCTGATGGGGAGGACACCACAGTGCGGGCCAGCACCCATTGTGCCTATGACCGCATAGTGCTGCATGGAGAGCGCTGCCAGAGCCTGCTACGCATGGCAGCTGCCTTCAACTTCCCCAGGACGTTCCAGCTCACTGAGGAGGAGGTAAAGGGATGAAGCAGGAATGGTCACAGGGAGGTCTTTCAGCCCTGACATTTTGTCCTTCTGTCCACCCCCAGGCCCTCAACATCAGTGACCACTACTCTGTGGAGGTAGAGCTGAGCCGGGCAGCGCACAAGATCCAGCCCCTCAGCCTGGCCACTCTGTTGCTGCCATTGCTGCTGCTGCCATTCCTGCCCCCCCAAATGGGCCTGGTGGCCTAAACCTCACCCCCACCCTGGTGCCTGCTGCCCACAGATGTAATGACTACACTGCCTTCAGGACTCAAACCCTAGCCTCTCCTGTCCCTCTGCCCTGGGGCCAAAGCAACTTCTCAGGGGCTTTGACTGCAGCCCTGCCCTGCCCTGCCCTATTGGACTGCAGCCCTCTGCCTTTTCTTTGGTTTGGCTTATGTTCTTCTGTTGGGCCTGTGCCTGGCATTAGAATGTGCAAGAGGAAGGCAGAGGCCCTGAGGCTGGAGCCTGGTACCTTTCCCCCAGGTAGTGTCAGGAGTGGGGACAGGACAGGCTCCAGGGCTAAGGGAGGGAAAAAGGGCTCAGAAAAGGGAATCACAACATGAAAAATTATGACAAAAAGGAAACACACACTGAGAACAAAAAGCTAGACAGGAGTGACACTACATGTGTGTAGCAGATACGTCAATGGGCCACCTTTATTGTACATGGGATTCACATGAACCAGTGAAGATCCCAGTAGATACAAGAATGTAGATAAGCAGTTCACACACACACACACACACACACACACACACACTAGTGAAAAAACGGCTGATGCATTTAAGTTCATTTGTAATCTCATGAAAATAGCTGCAAACAGCCCTAATGCCTGTGGTGAAGCCCATGAGGTGCACTCAGTTCATGTTGGCACCATTCATAGGGTGTGGCCCCAGGGAGAGTGGCTACAGGTGCACAGAAAATATATGAACCAGTTATCACACAACTAATAGCTATAATTGTAAGAAATTCTTAACTTTTTAAGCATGATGTTTGCTTTGTGAAGTAGTCATATTAGTGGTGGTCACTGTGTCCCTATGTTACACTATCAGCAAATGGAACAAGCAGATTTCCTTGGGATGTGTTAGAACAGTCCCACAATAAGTGTGAGAGGGCATGAACAGGTGACCTGAAAAGGACATGAAGTCAGAGAGGGACCTAGCTAACTCCAGGACTGCTCCATTTTCCAGAAAACAGAGCTCAGTAAAAACAGCTACTTCCCTAGCCAGGTTGCTCAGTTGGTTAGACCATCTTCCGGATAAGCCAAGGTTGCTGGTTTGATCCCCAGTCAGGGCACCTACAAGAAGCAACCAATGAAGGCATAACTAAGTGGAACAACAAATTGATGTTTCTCTCCCTTCCTCTCTCTCAAAACCAATAAAATATTTTTTTAAAAAGATAACATCTTGAGAGGGGCGTGGTCACAAAGCACTGGCTTCCATCCCACAGATGGAAGGGTGAGAACATGTGCACGTGGGAGGTTGAAGGCATATTGTCACTCATGGATTTCCTGCGGGAGATGAACATCTATAGTGTGTCTGCCAGGGTGTGAGGGCAAGGTGGGCATGGCTGCTGTGCAGCTGGCCTCCCCACTGGACCTTTGATGGGCAGAGGCTGTGCGAGAACATCCACGTTTGGCTCCCTGCCTATGCTGTCCGTCATTTCATCCGTATCCAGGACGCCCTGGAGATCACAATCACATTCAAACTGGTGAAGTCTCAGTTGGTGTGTGAGGGTTTCAACATGGGTGTTATTGCTGACTCACTCTTTGTGCTGGACAACCAGACCCAGGCCTTCCGGCCCCTGACACAGGAAATATACCAGGCTGTGTGAGGGTACCTGGAAACTCTGAACATCTGGCCAGCCAACAGAACATCTGAAGGGGCACGACCCAGTGCTGACCACTGTCAAAAAATAAACAAACAGAGGCACTTTAAAATGGAGCTAGAGTTGCCATGCCAGAGGAACTACCTTGCATGTCCTATGTCTCAAGCCTTTTGAATGTTGAAACAGGGCCTAATCAACCTTGTGTCCTGAAGAACTGTTTGCAAGAATAACAAGAAAGCAGTTATTATGACTACTGGACTGATGACTACAGGACTGAGAAACTAAAAACATTGTTTAAGCCCGGCTGGTGTGGCTCAGCAGTTGAGCATGGACCCACGATTAGGAGATGGTGGTTTGATTCCCGGTCAGGGTACATGCCCAGGCTGGGGGCTCAATCCCCTGTCGGGGGCATGCAGGGGGCAGCCGATTAATGACTCATCATTGATGTTTCTATCTCTCCCTCTCCCTTCCTCTCTCTGAAACCAATAAAAACATTTAAAAACAAAAAAATTGTTTAGAATTAACATCACCAAGCTATCTGCACCGAAAGCAATGCTTTCCTTCTGTGAAGTAATTGTTCCCCTTCCCTTTTTCATAAATACCCCTTGCCTTTGCCTCCTAATCCAAACACTATTTGGGCCTCTGCCTGAATCAGTGCTTCCGGAATGGCTATTCTTTTTCTTTTTCCCCTCCAACCTAAAAAAACACTAGTTTCCTCCCCCCTCCCAAAAATAGAAAAAGATAATATCTCAGAAGTGGAGAGAGAAAGATTCATGAAAATGGCCCTCCTACTGGTCGTGAGAAGCTGGGATCAACCCTGAGGTCGAATCCTTGTGCACTGCTGGTGGGAGTGTAAGTTGGTGCAGCTGCTATGGAAAATAGTATGGCACTTCCTCAGTAAATTAAACAGGGAGTTTCCATGTGGCTCAGCAATTCCACTTCTGCATATATACCCAAAAGAATTGAAAGGAGGAACCTGAAAAGATATTTGTACACTCACATTCATAGCAGCATTACTCACGGTAGCCAAAAGGTGGAAGCGGCCCAAGTGTCCATTTATAGAGGAATGGACGAGCCAGGTGTGGTCTATCCATACGGTGGGATATTATTGAGCCTTAACAAGAAAGGAAATTTTGTCTACAGTCATACCACCCTGAATGCACCTGATCTCACCTGATCTTGGAAGCTGAGCAGGGTCGGGCCTGGTTAGGACTTGGGTGGGAGACCCCTTGGGAATACCGGGTGCTGTAGGCTTAAAAAAAGGAAAAACAAGGCCCTGGCCGGTGTGGCTCAGTTGGTTGAACATCATCCTGTGCACCAGTTTGATTCCTGGTCAGGGCACATGCCCAGGTTGCGGGTTGGGGAGGCAACAAATCCATGTTTCTCTCTCACATTGATGTTTCTCTCTCCCTCCCTCTCTCTCTCAAATCAATACAAAATCTTTTTAAAAAGGAAACTTTGACACATGCTACAACACGGGTGAACCTTGAGGACATTATACTAAGTGAAATAGGCCAGACACAAAAGGACAAATAGTGTATGACTCCATTCTGTGAGGTCCCTGGAGGAGTCAAACTCAGAGAGACAGAAAGTAGAGTGGTTGGTGTCAGGGGCTAGGGAGGGGGCTGTGGGTTAGTGTCTAATGGGGACAGGGTTTCAGATGGGGAAGATGGAAAGTTCTGGGGATGAATGGTGGTGATGGCTGCACAACAATGTGAATGTATTTAACACCACCAAACTGGTTGAGATGTTAAATTCCATGCTATGTGTATTTTACCACAATTCAAAGAATGAGGCCGAGCCATATGTGCCGGTGTCAGGTATTCACAAAGAGAAAAGGCAGGAAATCTGCGACACTGGCAGTTCTAGGGGGCTGGCGCCGGGCAGCAGGATGAGCATTACTTTGTCCTTAACACCATGTCCTTCTGAAACCAGAACCAAGCCCAGCTGGGACTACACACTGGGGCAACCTGGATTCCTCCAGAAGGTCCCAGCAACCCATACACGGCCATGCACTGCTCAGCTGTGCTCCTGCTCCTGGTTGGTGTGGCTGAGGCCTTTCGCATCTGTGCCTTCAACGCCCAACGGCTGACACTTGCCAAGGTGGCCAGGGAGCACGTGATGGATACCTTAGTTCGGGTAGGTTCACCACTGTAGGGAAGCTGCACTCCTGAGGACAAGCCAAAGCCCACAGCCCTGCAGACACCGGGGCATGTCCCAGGAAAGGGGGGACATCAAGAGACGTGGGTGCAGAGATATTGAGCAAGCTCCTCCCCTGTCACTGGCCTGAGTCTCTTCCTCTGTAAAATGGGTGCAGTGTGGGTGGGGATGGCACTTGGTTTTCTCCCAGGTCTTTTCTAGTCCCACTGCTCTCTGTGGGCCACATCCAGCACACTGTGCCACTCTTACCCACATCATTGGTCAGTGCCAGTTTCTCAGGGACTCCACCCTCATCCTGGAGTAGCTGGCACTGAGTGGAGCCAGCCTTCCTGGTATCCTACAGGTCCCAGATCTAGCCCCAAGGGAGAGTGGTTACCAAAGCTACAAATGCAGAGAAAATACATGAACCAACCATAATGCAACTAATAGCTAGAAGAAATTCTTACCACTTTAAAACATGTATCTTTATCGATTTCAGAGTGAAATGGAGAAACATCAACGATGAGTCACTGATCCGCTGCCTCTTGCATGGCCCTGCCCCCCCAGGAACAAGCCCACAACTGGGGCATGTGTCATGACTGGGAATTGAAGGATCCTAGGTTGATGCTCAACCACTGAGCTACTCCAACCAGGCAAGAAATTAACTTTTTACAGGTTTGCTTTGTGAAACAGTCATATTAATGGTGGTCACTGTGTCCCTGTTACACATCAGCAAATGGAACAAGCAGGTTTCCTTGGAATGTTGGAACAGTCACACAGTAAGTCTAAGAGGGCCTGAACAGGTGGCCTGAAAAGGACATAAAGTCAAGGTTACCTAGCTAACTTCAGGACTGCTCCATTTCCAGAGAACAGGGCTCTGTCAAAACAGCTAGTACCCTGGCCAGGTTGCTCAATTGGTTAGAGCATCTTCCAGATATGTCAAAGTTCCCGGTTTGATCACCGGTCAGAGCATGAATGAGAACCAGTGATGGATGGGTGGAGCAAAGTTGATATGTCCCTCTCTAAAAATCAATATATAAAAATTGAAAAACAGCTAGCAAGGCATCAAAGCCATTAAGTTAAAGTTGCAGTCATATTTATGGCTTGGGGCTGCACACTATTTGCCTAAAGGTCTCCTGTTGCAAAGCTCTATGGGACATTTGGGGAATAAACTGGATGACCTGGAGGGTTTGTTAAAATATGGCTGTGACCATGCCCAGATGGATTCAGCTCTTCCCCATTCCCTGTGATACTGCTGTCTTGGGACCCATGGGCAAAGATCCCCCACCAGCCCAAGGGTCACCTTAAGCCACAAGCCCTTTATCACCCAGGGAAGGGCACTTTATAACCATGGCCTGAAGCTTTTGAAACCTACCACCTCTGGTCTAGGCAGGTGGAAGTCATGTTCTAAGTAGGCTCTGCTGGGCCCTGATCTGTTGTCAGACATTTTTGCAAGACAAAGGACAGTTATCCTGCGGTTCCCAGAGGCTCCCCCATACCCCATGAATCCAGATGCAAAGACATGGACAGGAAGTAGGATTTATTGGTGGGTGTAAGGTGGGGGCAGCACTGAAACTCTCACGAGTGCAGGGCCCGCCATTTGTCCAGGGGACCACGATTAGGGATGTATTTGACTCCACAGCCATCTGGGATGAGCCGCTTTTCAGCCACCATGTCTTCAAACTCATCCGCGTTAAATTTAGTAAAACCCCACTTCTTGGAGATATGAATCTGAGGAGAAACAAAGAATTGAGTCCAGGGATTTGGGGACTGGGGCAAGTTAAGAAGGAACCAAGACTGTGGCACTAACCTTCTGGCGGCCAGGGAACTTGAACTTGGCTCTGCGTAGGGCCTCAATCACATGTTCCTTGTTCTGCAGCTTGGTGCGGATGGACATGATGACTTGTCCAATGTGGACCCTGGCCACTGTGCCCTGGGGCTTTCCAAAGGCACCCCGCATACCTGTCTGGAGCCTAGATTGGTGACAGCATGAGCTCAGACATGAGTGTCCACCAGAAAGTGCTGTATCCAAGGTCCCTTAAGGCAACCCATACTTAACAACAGGTTGCATACACTACCAAGGATGCTACTGTTTGCAGCCATTGCACACCAGGCCCCCATGAGTAAAAGAGCATGGTCGGCTTAATTGGCTGCAGCGAACCCCAAAACAGACTAGACAGAATCCCTACCATGGTGCTAATGGGCTCATTTGAAGCCCTCCAACATAGAACTGCCCCAGCAACATGCTTGCAGTCAGACGGGTCATCAGGCTAGAAGCTGCTCCCTCCATCTGCCACCCAGAGGCTGCTAAGACTTAGTCATGATGCCCTTTTTGTGTTTATTTCTGGGAGTCAGTTCTAATTTACAAAGCAGTGGAAAAATTAGTGTCCATGATATCTTGCCAGCCACCTCTTTGCCCTAATACAATAATCCAGCTAAACAGAGGCCCTCAAGTTGTGGGAAACACCAGAGACCCAGGACCCAGCTCACCTGTCAGCCCCAGCACAGGACAACATCTTGTTGATTCGGATGACATGGAAGGGGTGGAGCCGCACTCGGATGTGAAAGCCATCTTTGCCACAGCTTTTCACCATGTACTTGTTGGCACAAATACGGGCAGCCTCCAGAGCTAGGTGGGAAGGAAGGCAGCAGAGTAAGGATGGGATATAAGCACTTTCCATGGTCTTTCCTGGCTCTTATGGGACATCTGTATTGCCTAGGTGAGTTTCAAAGAGGCTAACAATTGGGTGTTCATGATTAATAAACTGGTATAGTGAGGTCCGGATTTGGCTGGGGGAGCACATAGAAATAGGTGGGATTAACAAGGAATCCTGCACCTCACCTTCAGAAGAGAGCTGCTCATATTCATCTGACACCATGTGACCACAAAGTGGGAACTCATCCACTTTTGCCTTCTTCCGCCCCAGGTCAAAGATGCGGATCTTGGCATCTGGAAAAAAGCTTGGGTAAGTTGTGTGTGGGATGCCATTGACAACTGAGTCAGTGCAGTCAAACCAGTTGGGGAGCTCTTCCACAACTTACCAGGGACACCTCGGCAGAAGCGAGACTTTGGGTACGGCTTGTTCTTACAATACCGGTAACTGCAGTGGGGGAGAAAAAACCCAGGTTTGCAGGGATTCACAAGTGAACTCAACAACAGTCACTTCCAGTGCTCCCCCCTTCCAAGTTAAAACCAAAGGAGGGCTGCGAAAGGGGGTAACAGCACAAATCAATCTGTAATCTGCCTCCACGTCTGGAAAGTGGCTCTAAAGCAAGACACAGTCACAACTAGGTGGCCAAAAGTTAAGAGGACAACCATGTTAGGAGCATATAGGAAAAAATACCATCCTTGACCAATTATTGGGTTTTAAACTTTCTATAAGGCCAACACTTTGAAACACTTTCCCAGTTAAAAAACCTCTCTCTTCCAGACACTGCTGACTACAAATTTGCCCTGTAAGAGTAGCAGAGTTCCTGTGATCCAGATAGACTTTTGAACACGTGGCATTTCGCCTCCAAGCCACGTGAAGGGCTCCCGGCGCCCCCTGCAGGCCACAGAAGAATTCAGAGCTCTCACAGCTCGCAGCCCGGAAATAAGATGGGGATGGCACACAAAGGCCCAGAAGGCATTGAGCCTGAAAAGGTGGCGAATTTCCAGGACAAAGGGCGGAATGCAAGGCAGTTGTCGCTTCCAGCCTGAAACTGGCTCAGAAATGCAGTAAAGGGTCAACGCAACACCCCAACAAAATTTCGGAAGCGCTTAAAGAGCAGCATCAAGTTTTAAGTTAAAGAGCCACATGATATAAACGAAGACCTAAAGAGACGCGTAAAGTACAGAGGAAAACGTTAAGTCCGTTCCCAACATAGGAAAAGCTGCACTAGGAAGGCCCCACCCCATGGTTGCCTTCGGCGGCCAAATGCAGTTATCCCTCTTCCCAGCAGCGAAATTGCACGGATTCAGTACTCACCACCGGGCGGGCCGGCGACCCATGGCGACACCAGGATCTTCAGTGGCTGCAACGAAACAGAAAAAGTGGGAACAGAGAACGAAGAGAGGCTCTAACCACGTAAGAGAAATGGGAAGGGCTCGGCAGGAACCTACAACCGACACTACTCACCACGCCGAAGGGAAAGACGCTCCCACGCCTGCGCATGCCTTATATAGGCCGTCTATCTTCGCGCGTAGGAACCATAGAGTCCTGACGAGGGCGGGTGGACGCTCTGTCAGACTTGCAGACCATAGACGCAAAGACGCTCTGCGCCTGCGTGCAGGCAGCCGGATACATGCGCAGAACGGGAAAGAGGCGGAGCGCCTGACAGTTGTGGACAGCTAGCAAATGGGTGCCAGCCACATCAGCACGGGAAACCCTTGCCCAACTGGCCATCTTGGGCGTAGAACTCGGCCCGAGGTTTTGCTCTAACTATGAAAAACTTTTGTTCTTAGAGTTGAAAGAGGGGCAGTACCCCCAAATGGGGCTCACGGCGGCTGTGCGCAGTGTTCCGGGGGTTCGCCTTGCCGTGACACGCTCTCTGTGCCTCCCTCTGGGTTCCAGGGCCGGCAGGGGACGCGCCGTGCTGGAGCCTCGACCTGCATTCCTTTGTCGATGGGGAGGCTGAAACCCGAAGCCCG